CGGCACTGTATACCGGCTGCAAAAAAACTTTTTTTAGAAGATAGTTTGTAAATATTTTGTAAAGTAACACCTGAAGATTAGTGGCGTATTGCGAGCAATAATCCTTCATGGTGCCATCCCAATCAGTGATAAGTAGTGGTTTAATACCCGAATATGCAGAGTCGACAAAATCCATGAGAAATCTACAAATTTCAGGATCAAGTAAGCGACTACAGATTATATCACAGTAGTGATGCAATGTCAAGCTAGATCTATCTTGCTGATGACTGTGTTTGGTATACAGAGGTTCTTTGTCGTTTTCGATAGTTTTTCTAAGCGTGGAAAAAAAGCCGAAAACCCACATACCTTTTTTGGTTACTTCCAACGTTCCAACAAGACCACTCGATGAAAATTTTAGCAAAAAGATACTAGTTGCTCGAGAAAAGAATAACAACGCCAACCTCTCGGCAATCTGTAGCTCCTCCTCAAACTTCTTCGGACTCTCTGGATGATAAGGAGCCAAAATCTCCTCTAGCTGCACATCATCAAGAGCGTTTTCAATCATCGTCGAACCAGAGGTAACTCTCGAAAGACGATGGAGGAACTCGCAATCCTTCTGAAAACGCGATCATAAATTGGCGGATCTGGACGAGCTCAAGAGTGATGAACATCACTCGCAACCCTTTACGCACAAGGATACGCCATCATAGTTGTCGTTCAGCTCGCCCGCATGCTGTACCTGCGTCATTACAAGAGCGCGTCAAAAACGATAACCATTTTCTGAGGATACGCGTCGCGTGTCTGGAGCTGAGCTGGACAATATAACGGCATCCTAAAGCGACGAAATGATCAGGTGCGGCGCTAGGCAGCTGGTCACTTATCTTTTTGTGTTATTTTGGAGATGCAACCTCACCCGAAGTCCACGAATCTCATCGCGGATATTGATAGGGAAGTTGGCGGTTGGTGTTGCGATGTAGCGCATTTCTCCGGAAGTACGTGAATCCGTGAGCTCTTGCAAAGCTTTGTCCAAGGCTTGTATATTCGCCTGATCCACTTCACACTCGTTGAGCACACGCTCCACGATGGTGCGACGCACATTTTGCATCTAAAATGCCTCGCAATTAATGGGCGGCAAGCGGTCATGTTGCATGAGAAGAAGTTTTATCCAAAACTATATTTTCGAGCCGCTAAATCGAATTAGCGACAGCTGTTTTCCGCGAAAGCATATCCATAATATTCACTAGAGCATAGCTTTTGATTTCAGAGCACCTTCTATTCCGACTCATCAA